TGGTTTTATTTTGTTGTATTTATCCGCGACACCTTAAAGGCCGGTCCGTTCAAATATTGTCGAACATAACCGGTCCGTGACGCAAAAAAGGTTGGGGACCGCTGGTCTATGGGAGGAAGCCAGAGTACACTGAGGAAATCTACAAAGCCAGAGAGGCAACAAACCACACACTGCTGCCATAACATTTTGATTTTTGAATGATTTATATAGACATGTTACTCAAGAGAAGCAGAGTTAGGTGGGTTGGATTAGGAATTTGGATCATTACTGTGATTAATACTGTTTTAAACTCATGGCTTCTGCACACACTTTGGTAATATTTCTGTTTAATAGTGATGTTTATATTTATTTGGTATAGAAGAATTACATGGCATTGCTTCTCTGTTGGGGCAGGATTCTCAGGGCTTTGTCTACTCAAGTTCATTCTTTAAAAATGCTCCAGAAGTGACCTAAGATTTGATATGCAGGGGGAAGGTGCTATAGCTCTGCTCATTTGTTGTGGTGTGTGTACACACTATTCTGATAGTGGTGTCTAAATGACTATATTTTCTCTTCTAATCACTGTGTATTTTTTTCTATAATTGTCATTGTATTAATGCATATTGTTTGATTTATTTGCAAGACACTCAAAAACAAAAGCGCTCTCTTGTTGAAATCTTCCTTAGAAATGTATCTTTCCCCAGGCAAGCGTTTTGGGAGTTTTTTACTTGTTAATATGATAGCGGTGTCTAAATAATTTTGTTTGTGTTGCTATAGATTTCATAATTTTTCTTTAATTTTGTTATTTTCTGCTCTTATTGGTCATTGTTTTATTGGCATGTGATTTGCTAAGAGTGTGACATATTAACTGACTGACTGGCCCAGCCTCCCAACAACCCATTTGTCAAATAATCGAAAATACCTCTGGTAGGTCTGATCTGCCACTAGACACACAGATATATACAATCCCACCACAAAGGTGTCATTATGAACAGTGTGGGGAGAGCAATGAGAAAAAGCATTGATTTCTACTCTGAGAAAGTGCCCTCGTAACAATTACCGCTCCATTACAATAGAGCTAACTGAGTGCAGAGAACAACTTTAGAGCAGTCCTGACACATACAAGCGCACACACAAAAACACTGCTGGCTGCCTGGCATCACCACAGCTACTAACACACACACATGTTGGAGGTGGGGCTGTGCAGAGTGAGTGAATTTATTTAGAGGTATTTCTACTGTCACAGTGTGCATGTTAATTTTGCAGGCTGAATTATTAAAGCTGCAGAGCAAAGACATCCCTCACACAGCCTACAGCAAGACATGAAGGAAAAGAGTCCAGTGTTTTAAAAGGCGATCATTATGATACAGACACTGAATTCACTAAATTATAAACACTTCATTATTTGAACAAATAAAGGATATTCCATCAAATTCCATCACTCTGTACCTGACAGACTGAAGGTGTTAGGGTGCCAATCTTCTCCATCTTCCTGGATTTCAAACAGAATTCCCTCCTTTTCATTGACAAAGGGCTTATGTCATCAACTAGAAAGCCAGAGAGGGACCGAGCAGTTTAGGATCTTTTTTGAATACTTTTGCTGCCATCTTGTGACATTACCAGGTATTACGGACTAGATGAACCTTAAAGTTATTATGTTGTTGTCAAAGAACTGATGAGAAAGACATTTGACAAGCTTAATATAGATGTTAGGGAATTGTTTGGATATAGAGAATGCTGGTGGCATGAATTTAAATGTTTGTAGCTTCATCCAGTGATGAAACTGAAATCATAATAGGGAGGGATTCTTCTATCAGATGGAAAGATGAATTAAAAACAGCAAAATTACAATATGTAAACTTGTAAAGGAATATTGTAGACAGTTTTCAAAGCTATAGATTGATCTGTAAAGGTGTCAAGCAGCTTCTAGATGCTTAAAGGAAGCAGTAAGGTCAGTTTGCATTCTGGGTTTTTAGCATTAATAAGGCAACCTGCTCCAAGGTGAGTTTGAGGTTTTAAAGAAGTCAACATAGAGAATTTTTATTTTTACCAACTTTATTTGGTGCTTTTCTACTTTACCTGAACATTCAAAGCGCTCTATACAGGTTGCCTCATTGACTCATTCACACCTGTTCATAGAAGCCCTTTCATACTGATGAATGCATCAGAGAGAAACTTAGGGATAATGTCTTGCCCAAGGACATTTAGCATGCAGTCTGGAGCAGTCATGGATCAACCCAAAAACCTTCTGATTAGTAGATGACCTACTCCACCTCCTCAGCCACAGCCACCCCTTTTAGGGTTAAAGAATCATTTTGAAAGTCATGTCCATAAAAGGTACAGTAAGTCATTTTTTTTTTTAGATGATTTGATAAAACACATTTTATTGTTGTACTTCTAAATACACAATTCATGTGTTCCAACAAATTGATACATTGTCATAAACTTATCATTTATCTATTAAAAATACATAGGAGCTGGTGTCATGTTGTGGAAGCTGCCATCTTGCCCCACCATCTGGAATACACTGGCTGAGATGGGCATTGCCGCTCCGCCTTTTTACATTTTACATAACTGGCTAGAGACTGGCCGCACTTTATACATTCGTTTTAATTTAAAGGTCTCAAATAGCTCTTTCTCACTATATATGACCATTTAACATTTGTACATGTATATTTTGGTGATCTCTTTCTCAGTATGTTTTTCTTCTTATGTTAGCTTGGAAATTAGCTAAGATTAAACCAGTTAATGTTAGGCTCCAGTGTCCTAAAAAAAAAAAGCTCACACTTTTCCCCTGCTAAAAAATTTGATTGAATTCTCACATTGTATGGGAGTTCATTTACGACTAAGAGCCAGTTCAAAGAAAGTTTCACCTACATGGGCAAACAGCAGTGATTATCAACAGAAAAGTTCAGTATATAATAACAACTGACCTCAGTATTGCTGCTAGTGGACAGAAGTGAGCGTCACTGGCTGTATCCCAATTCAGGGTCTGCAGCCTTAAAGTACGCAGCCTTAACGGTCCACATGGGCCGCGTACTTAAGGACCTTTAAGGCCGGAAGTGCGAGGCTTGTAAAATGGAACGGTCTAGCCTCCTCGCGCTGCCCAGGTTGCCTAGCAACCATGATACTAACAGCT